TCATTCCATGGCTCAAACTCAAAATCACAGCTGTTTTCAGCTGCCTGCCAGGGTCTAAAATGCTTCTGACCAAGGCCTGGAACCTCTAAAAATGTCTGAGAGGCATTTTGAGCTCCAACAAGCACTGAGGGAACGGGGCTTTTTCACCCCTTGGCAAAGTGATGTCCTTGGCTTGTGACCAGGATGTGGCCCAAATAAACACAGCCCTGGTCAATCTGTGAAAGAGCTCGAGGGTGTGACTTCCCTGGCGAGGTGTCTTGGGCAAACAGATCTTTTTCAGGTTGCAGTTGCTGTGGTTCTTGGCTTCTGCTGGAGCCTGACAGCGACTGGATTTCACTGATCACAGAGCTGGGCTTAATGTTTGCAAAACACCCTCCAGAACCTGCTGAGGTTTGGGCTTCTCTGATGGCTTGGAGCTATCCTTGCAAGTTTGGGAGTCCTGGCCAGCAACACTTGGCCCAGAGGCAGCTGGAAACGTGGGGAGCAGAGATGAGGCTGGGCAGGTTGGGGAAAAGAGGAGGAGCCTTCTGCTGTGTCTCCTGGTTTTCTCACCCACGGCATAAAATCCTAAGGCTTGCCAGCATCTTCTCACTCATAGATCTGGTCTAAGGTTTTGCAGGGCAAGGCATTTCAGAACAACTCTGAAAATTAATTAGCTTACTTTTTATGTAAAAGACCTAATAACTCATGATGGAGAACTGTAACTAACTCCTGGTGCCACTAATTGTTGATGGGGATTTTTTCTCTTGGAGTTGGGGCGCCTTTTGATGGCCTTGATAAAGTTGCTGAAACCTCTCTCAGATTTTCTCCTGACTCATGTTGCACAACAATAGCTTTGATTTGACTTCTTTTTGTTTTTTTCCCTGCATTATTTCAGGACAGAAGAAAAGAAGATCCTGCCCAATATCCTCAAGAAAATTGGCTGCACCCCAATGGTCCAAATCAACAAGATTGGGAAGTCCTATGGGCTCAAGTGTGAGCTCTGTGAGTGTCCCCTTCTCACCAGGTTTTTGCATGCCACGAGGTGAGGGTGAGGGGTGGTGCTGGAGGGGGGCTTCAGAAGGGGCTCTGTGAGAGGAACATAGATGGGGAGGGGCAGATGTGGCTCATGTTGGGCTCTCCTGCTTATTAGGCAGTAATTTCTTGGGCCAAACAGGAGGTTTCAAGCAGCAATGAGCAGGGGGGCAATGGGAGTGAGGCATCTCTCCTGCCAGATAACAGCAGCATAAGCTCAGAGCGGAGCTGGCCTAAATTTGGGGATGGATCTAAGCCCTCTCCCCAAGGAGATGTTAGCTGCTGCTGTCTCATGTAAGGCTTGGCTTTAGGTTGGTCCCCTACACCCACAAGGTTGACAAACTCAGACCTGTGCATGTGGACTCCTCGGTCTCCTTTCCTATAACTCCTAACCCCAATGATTAATTTGATCCAGACTGGGCAGAAGGGCAGGTTCTGAGAGGCAGAGAGTGCCATGGGTGTCACACAGCTGAGTAAGGAGAGACTTGCTGAGCACTCATCCTTCATGCAATGGCCCAGCAGAGCCCTGCAGTGCTGGGTGGCAGCCAGACCCCACTGAGCTCACAGACATGGGGAGCACCCTGGGCTTTCCCACCTGATCCCTCCTCGGCATCTGGGATCCTTGGGCCACCAACCCTGCGACCTCCACGCTGCACTGCCTCCCCCTGCCCACAGTGAGAGCTGAGGGGACACAAGGGGGAGAGCTGGTGGAGGTGGGAGGACAGATGTGCAGTGCCTGGTGCAGCTCTGGAGCAGCCTGTCTCTTGGAGGATGCCTGGCTGGTGCTTTTGGGTGCTGGGAAAGGCAGGCAGATCCCATTTTCTGGGATGGTGTCTCCCTCCCCTGGCACAGGAGGGGAAGGAGAGCAGAACAGGCAGAGCAGCTCCACGGTCCTGTCTGAGCCCTGTGTCAGCACAGAGCCCCTTCCCCAGCCAACACAGGAATGCCTGCAGCACAGCTGCCTCAAGGAAGCAGCCACAGCTGGATGGGATTGCCTGGTGTGTGCTGTGCCCCCAGGGATGCTGCAGTTGTGGCACTTTGTAATATAAAATGTAATGATGAGCACAAGATTTCCCTTCCCGTTCAGGCTGCTCAAGTACAGGGCTGATTTCTCAGCCTCAGGTCTCTGCCAGGCTGAAGTGAAACACCCCTGGAAATCCCCATTTCTCCCTGTTGTTCATAAAACAGAGCTCAGCAGCACCAGTTCAGTCGCAGATGTCCATCAAAGGCTTGGTAAGAAGAATCCTGTGGTGTGGAGGCCCCAGTGAGGACTGAGATGTGCCTTGCAATCTGAATGTGCCTTGGAAAGTTACTTGGTTTGTTGCTAGCTCAGTGAAAGAAAATGTAATTTGGCCTGACACTTGAAAATGTTCTTTCTATTGTTTGGGATTTTTTATGGCACCTCAGTCAGGACTACAGATCACCCCTGCAAAAGGGGAGCTTTGTAGGTATCTCTGAAAAACCTCAATGCCTGGATAGACAGTGAGACCTTGCTGCTAAGCCTTGCCCACAGAAGAGTCCTCGAGGAGTGTTGTACCAGTGTGGGACCTCCCACCTTGCAATGACCGTGTCCAGCTGATTTTAAACCCATCTTGGGCTGTCCAGGTTGACTTCAAACCCATCCAGGCTGGAGGAAATACGGGGGAAAGAAGGACTCTGTGCTGATGGATAATCCCAGGAAAGCAGATGGTGGATGCATTCTCCTGAGCTAAGGACAGGCCTGCAGAGGAGGAAGAGGTGTCCCAAAACTCCAGTGAGGCCTGGAGGAGCAAGGAGCTGGTGCCTGATGGAGTTTCCCCTTCCTTTCCCTTTCCAGTGGCAAAATGTGAGTACTTCAACGCCGGGGGCAGCGTGAAGGACCGCATCGGCCTCAGGATGGTGGAGGATGCAGAGAGAGCTGGGATTATCAAACCAGGAGACACCCTGATTGAACCCACTTCAGGAAACACAGGTGGGAAGGGCAGGGATGCTCCCTCTGCCTGGGAACTGGGCAGGGTGGAATTTCTGAGCAGCAGGGATTTGAGGAGCACTTGCACTTGGAGTTACAAGGTGGGCTCTGGCTCCATGTTCCCCTCAGCTCTTCTCCTGGTGGCCATGGGCTTCCTGGGATGATGAGGTGCCTCCTGAAATTCCTGAGGGTCCTGTGAGGATCTCACACCTGCACAGGTGTGCCTGGAAGGTCTCCTTGTGGCAAGGCAGGCAGCATCAGGGGCTGGAGCATCCCTGGGTGTTTTCAGGCTGGGAAGCTTTTGAATTCTCCGGGATTCCCAGAGACCATTCCCCTGATGGGTTGGAAGAGAATTCCTGTGGGTTTTGCCCTTTTTGCTGTCACTTGTCACCCCAGCCACCCCCAGACATGGAGCCAAGGGGATCTGTGCTCCCCAGAGCTGTGTCCCATGTGGATCACACTGGTTCCCTGCCTGCCTGGGGCAGCTGGAATGGCACCAGGCTCCCTGCAGCCCCTGGCAGGGACACGCTGCTCCTTCCTGCTGCCTCACCTTCCTGCTCTGGTTGGGAGCAGCTGGCTCCATCCATCACCCCCATGAAACCAGAGCAGAGGTGCCCTTCGCCTGCCAGCCTTGGAGTGACGTGCAGAGTCCTGTGTGTCTGTCCCCCACAACTGACAGTGCTTGGGGGAGGCATTCCTGAAGCAAAATCACTTCTCTCCCATGTTTCCAAAAGCACAGGAAGATGCCTGAGCCTCGGGGAGGGGAGAAAACTCTCCCCAGCCCTGCCATTCTCTCAGTGCCAGCCCTGGGAGCAGGAGCAATGCTGCAGCTCCACTGGCCTGTCAGCACATCCTCCCACACTCCCTGTGCTCCCAGCACATCCCAGGAGGCTCGTGGAGGATACCCTCACCTGTGGCTTGTCAGTGACCATTTCATGGTTCCATCCAGGAGGAGGAGGAAGGTAGGAAGTGCCAAATGCTGTTGTCAACCAATTCCCTTTGCTCCCCACCACGCAGGAATTGGGCTGGCACTGGTGGCTGCATTGAAGGGTTACCGCTGCATCATCGTCTTGCCAGAGAAAATAAGCTTGGAGAAGGTCAGAGCTGTGTATGGTTTTACCCCACAGCTGGGGAACATCTCCTTCCTCTCTCTCTCTCTGCCTCTCCCTCCCTGGAGCCTTCTCCTTTAAAGGTAGATGAGCCTTGCACACCCACTGCCACAGCTGCTCTTCAGAACGTTGCTTCTTGAGGGGAAAAAAGCAGCCTGTGATGGCCTGGTGGCTGTCTGGTGTCAGAAGTGCAGCTGGGGTGGTGGGAGAGCCAAACACAGCGTGTGGCTGCAGAGAAACAGAGCAGGACCTGCTGCATGTGAAGCTCAGCAGGAGAGGCAGGCAGGTGCCAGGGCTATCCTGCCAGTCCTGCTCTACTTCCCCTCTGACAGCTGACAGGTCACTTGTCCCCACTGTGTATTGATGGTTTTCTTTCACCTGGAGGCACTTAGAGCTGCTTTCTCAGGGTGGTGTCTCAAGTCATTTGCACAAGAGCTGATGGTCAGGTGAGCACACTGTCCTGGAGATGGCAGAAATCCCTCACTGGTGAGCCAGGAGCTTCACAGATTCACAGACCACTCAGTTGAACTCACGCCAGTGAAGCCAGATTTGCACCCTGACCTGGCTCAAGAATGAGCCCTTCTCCAAAGTGTCACCCTCAATTCAACCTACATCTCACTCAAGCTCAGCTTGGATCAGATGCCACCTCTAGCTGCCATGGGCTTCATCTCCAGGTGTCCCAACACTGCCCTGTCCCACTGACAGACAGGTCTCCCAGAGGAGACACCCTAGGGCTGATTGCTCCTTCCCTGCCTTTAGTGAGAGAAGGGACTTAGGGCAAAAGCAGCTTTTTGATCATTCCCTTGCATGCTGGGGCTCCAGTCCCAGCACACAGGAGACACTGCTCCCTGTCCAGTTCCTTCTACCCTTTTCTCTGGCACCCAGGAGCAGCACACTGTCACCTCCCTCCACCCTGTCCCCAGCCTGCCCTCCAAGTAGGACAGGGCAAGAGGCCAGGCTCAAATCCATGTGCCAGCCTCAGGCAGGAGGCCCTGGGCTTCTAGGAGCATGTCAGAGATGGCAGAGTCCAGAACTGGACACGGTATCTCCACATGATAAACCTCTCCTGCGTGCAAAGCTGCTCTGGCATCTGGCACTGCCCTGAGCCCGTGGGTTCAGGTTACCATCCCTGCGTGGGATCAGCTGTGCTGCAGCTCCTCTTTTCCCTCCCAAAGGTCGATATTCTGAAGGCACTGGGTGCTGAAATTGTGAGGACGCCGTGCGCCCGCTTTGATGCCCCCGAGTCCAACATCCGTATCGCCTGGAAGCTGAAAAGTGAAATCCCAAACTCTCACATCCTGGACCAGGTAAAGGCTGTCCCCCCACTGACTCTGTGTCCCAAGAATGTTTATAGGGTGTTCTCCAAGTGTGCCTGTGTTTGGGGGCTCCATTTGAACTGGCACCAGAGGCATATTTCATCAGTGTTTTATGGCATTTGAAACTCAATCACTCCTCTGCAAAGCACAGGGGGACAGAAACAAAATAAGGGACACTTCCAAACCTGCAACACTTCTGCCAAAGCCTGGATGTGGGCAAGGTTGGGTTTTCTTGCACAATTTAAAGACTCCTCAAATTGCTTCAGATTTAACTTTGACCTGAAAAAAACCCATTTTTAAAGCCTAGTTAACAGCCTCTGTTCTGCCTCAAAAATATACTTCATGCTGTAAAGGGCACACCCTGGTGACTCCTGTCAGAGGTTCCTGCAGTGCTGGGTCTTAGGCAGGAGGGCACTTGGTCTGACCCCTGAGTGAGGAGTCCTTGGAGTGCAGAAAAGTCAGACAAACTCCTTCCTTCTGAGAAAAAAAAAAAACAAAAAACAACAATAGTTCAAAGACTGAATGAGCTTTTCAGCTCATTTTTGATCCATGGGTGTGAACGTGGGGTGCACAAATAGCGATGCTGCAAAATCCCTCTGTGTATGAGAGCTGACTGATGATCAGGACAGCTTCTCCAGCCCACAGCTCCCAGCCTCTGAACCACCCCCACGCCTAATGGGCACCAAGTGCTGGAGAGTGAGTGTTTGTGGGCACACTTGTGGAAAAACCCCAGGTGGGCTTGGAAATCTGTCCCGAGAAGGACAAACAGGAGGAATAGCTGTGAGCTGCCCTGGTGGGGCGGCAGGCAGGGAGAGGAGGGGGCAGCTGCATGCTTTGGGTACAGCTCTGTCAGGAGCTGTTGCTGTTTTATATTTTATTTGACCTGCTCTTCACACTCCTGCTGTTCTCTGCTGGAATCAACAGTACCGAAACCCGAGCAACCCCCTGGCTCATTACGACACCACGGCCGAGGAGATCCTGGAGCAGTGTGAAGGTATTGTCTGTGCTGAGGGCTGCAGCCCTCTCTGAGAGGCTTCATTTACATCACTTATTGACCTGAATGTCTAGAAACAGCCCAAAGGGCCTCTCTAGGGGCAGGCAGTATTATCTTAATAACGCTGACACACAGGGTGTAGCAACCTCTCCTAATCCACTCCAGATACACCTCAGCCTGCAGGGCTTCCCAGCTGTCCCCTCCCGCTGAAAAAGCCTGGGGCAGGAGAGAAACTTAAGAAACTCAGGTTGTACCTAAAGAATAAAGAATATGTCTCTTGGTGGCCACAGTGACCTGCCAGCTGGGTGCACAAGAGATCCCACGAGGTCTTGGAGGGGAATATAAATCCACCAGGGCATGGCAAGGCTGCATCTGACCCAGCGCTCTCATTTGCAAATCAAAACAGACTGAAACCTCACAAACAGTGATGCTGGAAGGGAGGGCTGGGGGAGGATAAAGGGCTATCCCAGTCCATGTTTGTGCAGATAGAAATGAAATTTACTGCCAGTTCTGGGAGCACTGTGGAACGTGAGCAGGACTTGAGGATTTTAACTGGAGAGCAGTTATCGGAGCAGTAAAAGCAGTCAGGTATCAATGGGAAACAAGAGAGCTCCAGCCTTCCCTCCACTATAGAGTGGGGATTTGCTCCAGCTGGCTGCCAGGGTTGCAGGTCCCCCTTTCGCAATGCAGCTGCAGCATCAGGTTCTGAAGGCCAGACTCCAATTCTGCTCCTACCAGCCCTAAACAAGAGGACACAGTCTCAAGCTACGTCATCGAAGGTTTAGGTTGGATATTAGGAAAAAATTTTTCACTGAAAGAATAATAAAATACTGGAATTGTCTTCTTAGGGAGGTGGTAGAAACACCATCTCTGGATATGTTTAAAAAAAGACTGGACATGGCACTTGGTGCTATAGTCTAGTTGTGGTGTTAGGGCATAGGTTGGACTTGATGATCTTAGAGGTCTCTTCCAACCTCATTATTCTGTGATTCTGTGATTAAATCTGTATCATTTCAGAGATGCCAGTGGGGCAGCATCTGGCAGAGGCAGTGCCAGGGCAAGCTCAGCCCTCCCTCCACTGTGGATGCCAACACAGGCTGAAAAGTTGTGCCTGTTGGTGATATTCACGTGTGTGACTGCTTTGATATGCTGTGCTTTGAAAGGGATGGGTGTGCTGAGATATTCCCTCCCCCTTAAGCCACTGAATCACAGAATATCCTAAGCTGGATAGGACCCACAAAGATCATCAAAGTCCAACTTCTGGTCCTGCACAGGACACCTAAAAAATCACACCAAGTGCCTGGGAGTGTTGTCCAAACACTCCTTGAGCTCTGGCAGGCTTGGTGCTGTGCCCACTGCCCTGGGGAGCCTGTTCAGTGCCCAGCCACCCTCTGGGGAAGAACCTTTCCCTAATATCCAACCCAAACCTGCCCTGACACAGCTTCATGCTGTTCCCTCTGTTCAGCAGATGCCAAAGATGCAGAAATCATGGAGAGCTGCAGTGGGAGATCTGGAGGTCACCTTCAGCTCCCTGCAGTGAGGCAGGATGAGCTGTGCTCTGATCCTGAAAGCTCATCTGAGCTTCTGCTCAGCACCAGGCTTTGGCCACCAGCACAGCCTCTGCCTGACCTTTCCTCACGTGGGGCTCTGGTGGCCACAGGCTCTGCCTCTGCACAGGGCTCTGAATAAAGGGGAGGCCGTGCTGGGGGCTGTGCTGAGCCCTTGCAAACCCCTCTCCCCCCTGATCTCAGGCAAGGTCCACATGGTGGTGATCGGGTCTGGCACAGGAGGAACCATCACTGGTGTCGCCAGGAAGCTGAAGGAGAAGTGCCCAGAGTGCAAGGTAAGGCTGGAGGCAGGACTGCCAGGGTTTTCACGGAATCACAGAATGGTTTGGATTCGAAGGGACGTTAGGGGCTGTCCCAGTCCACCCTCCTGCCATCAGCAGGGACACTTTCCACCTGACTGGGTTGGTGAGAGCTGGCCTTGAACAATTCCAGGGATGAGGCACCCACAACTTCTCTGGGTAATCTGTGCCAGGGCCTCACTGTTGCTGTCGAGGCAGGATGGGAATGAAGAGGCTCTGATTCAGAAGGCTGTTGAGAGTAAACTCCCATTTATTCAAAATACACTGCTCTTTTATACAGAGCTCTGCAAGGACCAAATCCATTGGTTCTGAAGTGAAAACAACCCACCACCATTGGTGCAGAGTGCTTGACACACAGTGATAGAACTTAACTACAAACAATGTGAAAAACAAGAGAGATAAAGAATTATTTACATTCTTTCCCAGCTCTTTCCCAGGCCTCTGCCTGGATAGAAACTCTCGGTTTCTTTCTTTGACTGAATCTGAGACCCACACCCCACCACCACAATAAGGAATTTCTTCCTATTATCCAATATAAATCTACCCTCCTTCAGCTCAAAGCCATTCTCCCTTGTTCTGTCCCTGTGTGTCATTTCCTGCCTGACCCCACGGCTCACCTGAGGGAGCAGTTGTTGTCTGCACCTATTTGTTCACAGCAATGGTGGCTTTTGTTGGAAGGAATTTGGTGATGTTTAGGTTGATCTAGACCCATGCAAGTGCCTTGGAGACCAAAGTTTCCACAGCCCCAGTAAAACCTCCCCCTGCCTGGTGCCTTGCCCTGTGCAGGACACTCTGGGAGCACAAACAAATGCTTCTCCTCTGCCACTGCAAAACCCTCTGTTCTTTAGGGTTAACATCACTCACACTGCTCATCCTGCAGAGCTCGTGCTTCAAGGCAGACTGGAGGCATGCACACACTGGCCTGGTCAGTGTGTGAGTGATCCCTGATCCACCAGAGGGGTGTGGATCCCTGATCCCTGATCCACTGGAGGACTGGGACGTGAGGCTGCCTCCCTGGCAGCGTGCAACTGCGTGTGGAGCAGTGTCACCATCACCTCAGCCCAGACACAAAGCTGTAAATAACCAGGGAGGTGTCACCATCAGCCAGCACGGCTAGATCCAGAAAGGATTTCTGTATCCACGGGTTTCCACAGGTTGGAACTCACTGGCTGGCTTCACCTAGAGCAGATTAAGGAGCTCTGGCACTGCCTTAAGGGCTGGGCTTTGGAAGTGGCAGGCTCTGCCAAAGGGGTGATGACAAACACCTTGAGAGTGATAACATTCAGTTATCACCAGTCACTTCTGCAACAGCTGAAGACTGCTGAGGATCTATTTTAAAAGAGAGTGAAAAACAGCACCTTTATATCCTGGAAGCTCTCCATGCTGCCAGTGATTAGGAATATTAATGAATATCAGGGGAAGGAAACACTGCTGATAAGGCTGTGGATAACTTTTCCATTTAATTTTGAATTTGGCTGTTTCTGAATTCCCATTTTGGTCTGACAAAATGTCTTTCTCTCCAAGATCATTGGCGTGGACCCCGACGGCTCCATCGTCGCTCTGCCCAGTGAGATGAACAAGACCAACACCACAACCATCGAGGTGGAGGGCATTGGGCACGACTTCATCCCCACTGTCCTTGACAGATCAGTGAGTAACCCTGTGAAGAGGGGCCTCTGCCTGCTCTCTGCTTGGCATCCAGCCTGCTCCCAAGGCCAGAGGTGTGCTGGCCCTAGTTTATCTTCCCAGTGCACAACAAGGTGTTGTGGGGGGATTGGGACACCCAGTTCCTTTCTGAGTAACTCTGATCATAACTGACCCACTGTCTCAGACACATTCTTCTTTCTTTCAGGACTTTTCATAGAGGAGCACAGAAATAAAAATTTCTTTTATTTTCTTTTATTTATTTATTTTCTTTTATTTATTTTCTTTCTATTTCTGCTCCTTGTTTTTCCCACGTGGAATGTGCTTGAAAAATCTTTTACCTGGGGCGATTGCTTGATTGGATTCTAGTGTGGATTGTTTGAGCCTGATGGCCAATCCAATCCACCTGTGTCTAGGCTCTCAGCAGAGGGTCACGAGTTGTGAGTTAGATATAGTAGCTAGAAAAAGTAGGTAGGTAGTTTTAGTATCTCCTTTAAATAGTATGTTAATATATTATAATATAGTTACAAGAAATCATTCAACCTTCTGAACTAAAATCAGACATCAGCATTTCTTCCTACCAAGTTCACCGACATTTACAATAACCCACAAGGAGAAGGCAGAGGTGAAAAGCAGGCATGTAACACCGTGTGAGTGTCCTCTGCTCAGGCTGTGATCACACAGATGTCTGTGCTGAGGCTGCTCCTCATCACGCTGCTTTCCTGAGCCTTCTCTGCCTCAGGCACCACACACAGAGAGCAGAAATCCTGCACCATGAACAGGCTGGATGACACGGTCCAAGCCCTGTAAGACAGCAGATCATGAACCTTGTAGCTCTTTGTTGTCAAGTTCCCTCTCAGTGTGTCAGCTGCCACAGGGCTTTTAATCCCTAACACAGGCTGCCTGTGTTGCCCTGGCCTCATTCTAGAAAGGCCCCTCACAGCCTCAGACCCCAGATTCTTTGTGCTTCCAGGTGTTAGCTACATCCCTGCTGTCAGCACATGGCTGCAGAGCTGTCACCTTAATAATCCAGGCTGGTTCTTGTAGCTGGATCCCATTTTGGCAAAATCTCAACCATTAATGTACCCTGGCCTGGGACATCATAAATACTCCTCCACATTAGGATGGAAAGAAAGAAACTGGACCTGTCAGGCATCCCTAACTTTCCAAGGAAAAGGTGCTGGCTGGAAAGGCGTGGGTGTCTGCAAGCAAGAACTCCAGACCATGGATGTTCTGACAAACGCTTTCAACAAGTGTGGAAGGCAGCTCAGAGCTGCCAGATGATGTGGGCATCAGCACCATGGTGTGCCTCAGAGGGTCAGGGCAGCCTGAAATGACATTGCCAAGACCCATGGTCCTTGCTTTCCTTGCAGGTGGTCGATCAGTGGTACAAAAGCAACGACAGAGACTCGTTCCTCATGTCCCGCAGGCTGATCAGAGAGGAGGGGCTATTGTGTGGTAAGCACAGAGCAGCCACAAGTGTTTGTTTTCCTAACAAACCTTCTGAACCTCATCCTTTTGGGACCAAAACGCTCCAGAGAATAGGTGCCCTCTGCATTTTGTGTCTGCTGGGTCAGCAGGGCTGAAAGGCTGAGCCTCGAGCTGTGCAGAGGTCACTGCAGACTCCAGAGGTGTGTCCCTCAGTCTGCTCTGGGGTCTGACTCATCAGCCACAGTAATTTTAGAAGTAATAATTCTCTCCTTGCTGGAGCACTTTTGCAGTGGAACTGGATCTTCAGGCAGTGTAGAGTTACAGAGGCTGAAGGGAGGATTAGTGGGGCTCGGGGCAGGACAGGTGGGCTCTGCCAGCAGCTCTGTGAGGCCGTGCTCGGTGTCACTGCCACACCAGAGGTGCCAGCTTTGTACCAGGAAGGTCTGAAAGCAAAGAAAGTGTGAGATGTTCTTACTGAGTATTCCTCCCTGTGCCAACAAGCTGTAAGTGATCCCACTGGCTTCCCAAAATGAACAGGTGCCCTCACACAGACTCTGCCTGTGCCCTAAGAGCCTCCACAGAGCATCAGCCTTGTTTTCAGCCCTCCCTGACACCAAGCAAACCGACACAGGTTTGCACCCGGGAGCAGACACTACGTAGGCTCGTAGTTACAGCTGACAAAAGCCCTGAGCACTCATATCCAGGGAGTTTTGGAAAAGATCAGGCTATATATATGTAATGAAACACTTAAATGTTGATTTAACCTAGCAGGCATGGAGTCACTGTATTTCAACAGTGTATTTCAACCACTTGTTTGAACTCAACCATAATTTGTGAACAGCTTCGTGTTCCCTGAACTGCATTTTTCAGGGCTGCTCCTCGTTTGTTTGAAAAATGTGACCCAGGGATAATTAACCTGCTGTAAAATACGTGCTGCCTTGAATGCAGTGTGTAATTGGCACACAGATAGTGGAATGTGTTTGACTTCCAGTACTCAGACTGCTGGTGGAAGAATTGCCTCTGTAAAGCAGGGACCTGCTTTCCCTACGTGCAGCAAACCACATGCGTGCACACGGACACGGGGAGCATTCAAGCCTTCCCATCATGTTGGCCTGGTATTCCAAGCATGAATGTAATGTTTATGGGTTTTTTCAGTCTTTACAGTGCATTTAAAGCCAATCTTTGGCTGCCAAGTATGTCAGCCAGGAGCTCTAGAGCTGGCGTGCTCTTCTGCTCGTGTGAAGGGAGGGTGTGGCGTGGACAGCGTGTTCTGGGTGTCCCTGCATGGGACCTTTCAGCCCTTGGTCTGCCCACAGAGTCCCCACAAGAAGTGGTTCATGAAGTCCATGAGGTGACTTTCATGCTGCCTCAAAAGCCCAAGAGCCACCATATGAACACATCCCATGAGTCCCTACCTCTGCCTGGCCCTAAAGCCTGCAAGGCTTTGGGATGGATTGTCCTCCCATCCCCTGTCCCATGCCACAGGGTGCCACCTCTGCACCCTTATGTGGGGCAGCCTTTGCTTCCCACCGTGGGACAGCGGCCCTGGGCAGCCCTGACACTTGTGTCCCTCTCCTTGGTGCAGGGGGCAGCTCGGGCAGTGCCATGTCCGTGGCTGTGAGAGCTGCCCAGGACTTGAAGGAAGGTCAGCGCTGCGTTGTCATCCTGCCCGACTCCGTCCGCAACTACATGTGAGTGTCCTGCTTCCTCTCCTGCTTCCCAGCACCAGGCTGGGATCTCCTTCTGTGATGGGAGCTGAGCCCAGGTGCTTGGGGTTCTGGAGAGCCGCCCCGATAAATCTGATAGCAAGGCACATGCTGTGAGCCCGGAGCTGGGAGTCTCCCTCGGGCAGATCATGGGAAAAAAGCAAAGTAAACACCAGGGAGAAGGAACAGTCACCAGGGGATGGGTGTTGGGACACTTGGGGTTTATTTCCTCTCATCACTGACTCACTGCACGCAGCAGGACTCGGCCAAGCTACACCTTCTGAGTGTGCATGCCTAAAGTTAGGCAGGCAAATAGCTGGCGTGCTTCAGAGAGTCACTGAGCACCCAATGCTCCTGCTGACCTTAAAAGGGGCTGAGAGCAGCCAGCTGCAAAAATCATGAGAGCCCTGGGGGCAGTGCTGTGGGCTGGTGCACGAAACAAAGCACGACTTCTTCTGGAAGCCTCACAGACTTGCTCTTTGTTGGTGATTTCTAGGTCCAAGTTTGTGAATGATAAGTGGATGATAAAAAATGGGTTCCTAAATGAAGCCCAGGAGAACAAGCCTTGGTAAGAAAACTTCTGCTGGGATAAACTGTGCTAAGGGAATCAGCTTTCTGAGTCTGGAAATCATTATCTTCAAAGGAAAACGTTCCCTTTTAGTGTTTAGGAAAAACAAAGTAAAGTCCAGACCCCTCTGGGGAGGCTGTAATGTCAGCTTGTCTCTTTTGGGTGGTTCTCTCTCAGCTCTGCAATCAAAGTCTATAAAGGAGCCATTTCTGTCCCAAAGTAGCTGATCCACTCCCACATGGCAGCCCAGGCCATCTAGAGCCTCTGAAAGCCTCTTTCTACTGCACATCTGACATTCAAAGGACCATCAGGCTGCTGGGGAGGTGGGTCCCTGTTGTAGCAAGCCCTCTTTCAAACAGCTCTGCAGCTCTCTTCAGGCAGGGGACAGGAAATTTTCACCTTCCAGAGCTGCTGGCCAGAAAAGATGGCAAACTCTGCTGTCCCTTGGACACCATGGGGAAGGAGTCCCCTCAGGGAGTCACAGGCAACCTGCTGATGCCAGCTGATGTGTGGCTGGGAAAATCCCAGGTGCTTAGAAAAGCTCTTGGTCTCACCCAAAAGACAGCAGGTATTACTGATGTCGCCTTCTCCTTTACCAAAACATATTGTAAAATATTTCCTCAAAACTTAACACATTTCCAAGGTGTCTGGTTAGAGTCGCTCTTGGCCCTTCCAGGCTCCAGCATTGCCCTGCCTTTTCTGCAAGGACTCAGGGCTGAGATGTCTGGGAGCTGCTTGTGTTCCCCCACAAACAAGCTCAGCTTGTCCCCCATAAGTCACACGAGCATCTCTGCAAGGCTCTCTCCTGCAGGAGCTGCAAATGCTGCCTTGTGAGGACCAAGGATGCAGGACAAAGGAGTAAAACTGGTAGGTCAACCCATTTATGAGCTTGAAGTGAAGCCCTCAATAGTTTCCTTGGATTCAGGACAGCTCAGCACCTTGCCAGCTGCTGGTCTCATCCCTGCCTCTGGAGTTGCATGAACACTGGGCGTAGGGAAAGCTTGGCTTCAACAAGACCTGGCCGTGGTGGCGTTTCTGCTTTGGGTGTAGGAGTGGGGCTGGCTTTTCAGGCAGACAGAGAATCCCTCATCTCCTCTGGCCTTGCCCCCTGCTGAAGGGCACAGCTGTGCAGCAGTCACAGCTCAGCGCTGCCATTTGTCTTCCAACAGGTGGTGGAACATCAAGGTGCAGAAACTGAACCTCTCGGCCCCTCTCATCCTCCTCCCAGAAGTCAGCTGTCAAAAGGCAATTGAGATCCTCCAGGAGAAGGGATATGACCAAGCTCCTGTTGTTGCTGAGTCAGGGTAACTATTTCTGCTCACTGCAGGAATCTTGGGCATTTGTACAGAAAAATCAGTCGTGACAAAGCTAAAGTCCCGTGTACTCATTCAGAGCTGGGGCTCTTGTGTTGGACTCTGATTAGTCCAACATTTTATTTTAGAAATATTATCTGCCTCCTTGTGAAGGTTCATCAATAGAACTCCTGTAAAAGGTCCAGTTAAAGCCCAATCCAGTGCCCACCAAACCAGAAGATGCTGGATCAGTGCACAGGCAAGGGGAGCCCAGGGGAGAGAGAGCTGGGGGGAAACCCACAAAAACAAGCAGCTGGAGAGCCCACGGGTTTTCCTTCTCCCAGCTGCTGAGTCCTGGGCTGCAACAGCAGATTTTAACTACTGGGGAGCCAACAGCTTGGTGAGGACAAAGCCTTCCTTGTTCTGCTCAAGTGAGGAGAAACCTGGTGCCTCCCACTGACTGCAGCAACAGTTCAGTCACTGACTTCAACAAGAGCAGAGCAAGCCCTACATAAAATGTGTGTTCTACCTCAGGTCTGACCTTCTGGAAAACTCCCTGTTCCCTTACAGGCTTATTTTGGGAATGGTGACCCTCAGCAACACCCTGAGCTCCGTGCTGGCTGGAAATGTGGAGTTCTCAGACCCTGTCACCAAGGTCACCTACGACCAGTTCTCCAAGGTACCACTGAGGCTGGGGATGGTGTCAGCCCCCCTGGGGACGGGGAGGGAGGGAGAGGTGCACCACCAGCACCCTGGGGTGTGAGAGGAGCTGGGAGAAGAGGTCAGTGAGAAGGCAGAGAGGAGTGGGGAGGGCCATGGTGACATCTTGGAGATGGGAGTAAGGACAAGCACCTGTAAAGGCTCTGCTGAGCCAGCAGGGCTCAGATGTGGGAGCTTATCACACCAGGACCAAGCACTGGCAGGGGAGTTCATCCAGCTGGGGAATCAGCACCCTCCAAAATCAGAGCTCAGCCATTGCCAGGTGAAGTAAAACATTAAAAGTTACATTCTGTCCTGTTTAGATCAGCCTGGAGGACAGCCTTGGGAAGCTTTCCTGCATCCTGGAGAACGACCCCTTTGCTATCGTTGTACACGAGCAAATGCAGTGTAGGTATCTGCAGCAACTCCCCACGGCCTTGGCACAAGCACGTGAGAGGGGAAAGGGAAATTCTCAAGCTGATTGTGGCAGGTGTCAGTGCATCTGCTGCACCTGGGCAGCCCCTGAGCCTCTGCACCATGAGAGTTTCTGCTCTGCAAAGCCCTGGAGCTGCCCACTCCTCACCCATCTCTCCTCCTGACACCACAGAGATCAGGGGAGAGGGGCAAAGCTAGCAAAGGGGAAATTAGGGATCTCTCTAGACTTCTGTAGCCCAGGGACAAGGTCAGAAGGAGCATTTGGCCACATTGGGCAAAGCCTGGGTGGAATTCAGGCAGCTAAGTTGAGAAAGCTGAGAAAAACTGGGGTGGGCATGAGCAAGCCCTGTGGCGTGGGTCACCAGGGGTACTGCTGTGTGTGAGCCTTACCTGGACCATGGCTGGGTGTAGGGATGCTGTGCCAGTCTGGGAGCACCATTAAAGCAGGTTTTGTTGGTTTTATTCTCAATCCACTGCACAGCCATCTTCCCCTTGGTGTAGCAAGGCAGCCCAGCAGAGTCACCTGCAGCAGCACCACAGCAGCATCAGGATTGCTGACACATCAGTGGCAGCAGGGATCACCCCTCGTGCCTCCTCTGGCCCAAAAAAGGTGTGGTGGCAGGTGCTGCTCAGCACATCTGACCTGGCACACCTTTCCAGTACAATCACACCAAAAGGAGTACAGATTTGACCTTGGCTGGGAAAAGTGAGCAACACAAAAAGCAGTCAGAAGAGCCATGTTTAGGTCTTGTGAGTTAGAGCTGAAGGGTGTAATTATGCTGATTTGATGGGATTACACACTGAGCATGCAAAACATCCCTCAGGTGAGCAGTGGGTGACACTGCCAGCTGCCTGCTCAATGCAGGGCCTCCAAAACCCACCATGCCCAAACATCCCAAAACTTCCCTCTCCAGGGCCTGCTCCCCCAGAGCCCCATCAGCTCTGAAGCTTGCAAGTCCATCCATGTTCACACAACAGGTTGCAAACAAAAATCTGACACTCAAAACTGCCTTTGATGCACATTTCCAATTCAGTCACCAAAATTAATTCCAGGCAGAATTTCCTTTCTCAGTCATGTTGCCATAAAATAAGGAATATCTTTTTTGTATCACATTTTGATATAAATTAAGTGGTATCAGCAAATTAAATGGCACCCATCAAAAAAAAATATCAGCCAGCTGTCTGCAGCACCTCTTGCTCTGATTTTCAAACAACACCCACTTGCTTTTCCAGAGCTGCTGTTTTAATGCTGTCACCCCCTTATTTATTAATTTCCTCCCACACCTTTGGAGTTTGCATTTTCTCTTGTGTCTGGGCTCTGGTGGCTAGTTTTTGTTTTATTTAAGAAAACATTTATCAGACAGTTAAAACAATTATTGAAGTGCTGTTTCATTAATGGTGGTGTAGGATGTTATGAGAACAGAGTAGAAAAGTGCCTGACTGCTGCTTTTAGAGACTCTCATTAGTTTGCTCTGAAAAGTTCTGTGGTGATAGGAGCAGGACTGGAACAGAGGTTGGCTAAAAACAACTGGGAAATTAAGTTTCCTGCTCTGGGAAAGGTGGGTAATTTGCAACAAAAACCTCTCTGGTGTGATCACAGTAACCTGACTGAGGCTCCATCATCATTTCTGTGGAGGTAGAGCTCAGACACTGTCCCCTTTAGGGTTTTCTTTTAATAAATGCACACAGCCTCTGCACAGCTGGAAGGTGGTGAGAGGGCTGGTGGGGGTGGTAGTGTTCTTTTTTAGTTTTTTTTGCCACTGAGCTGGAATTTTCTGTGCTTCCAGACAGTGGAAATGGCAGCTCCTCCATGAAGCAGATGGTGTTTGGTGTGGTCACAGCCATGGACCTCCTCACCTTTGTCAGCAGGAACGACAAGAAGTAGCAGAGCAGCTCCTCCAGCAGGTCCAGGTGTGCCCCTGAGCCCAAACCACCTGGTCAAGGGAGCCTCTGGCCCAATCCAGCCAACAGATTCTCAAAACGCTCAGGAGAAAATTGTGATGTATTGTATTTGTCTGCCAAATGCCACCCACAGTATTACTAAAGAAATTGCGTTTAACAGCCTTGTGTGCTCACATGGAGCTTCCCAGGGCTGGGCAGGGAATGTGGATGAGAAGGAGATGATTGTTCCTGCCCAGATTTTAGCAGGAGGAGCTTTGGTGAGTTTGCCAGCTGCAGGTACCCGGGCACTGCCTGTGTTGCAGCTGCTGAGAGTTTTCCTGACCCCTCGGGGCCACAAGAGCAGCAGGGCTGGGGGCAAGTCAGGGCACAGCTGAACCCTCCTGCCCCTCTCTGCCCACCCCAGGCAGGGCTGAGAACCCCCAGGAGCCATTCCTCCTCACCCCTGGGGATGTTTGCCTCCAAGAAGGTAGCAGGAGAGTGTACAAGTCTTAACTTCTTTTTGCCAGGGTCAGGATTAAAATGCATGAGATGGTACTTCTTGTTTGGAGTCTGATGTTTATTAGTTCTTATCCATATTACAGTCTCACAAAACCCTGAGTTCTGCAGCACTCCACTCCAACAAACTAAAAATGGAGCCCCATTTCCCTCTCTGCAAGGCCTTTTAAGGGTAAACTGTCCAATTAAGAAATGACACCTCAATTATTTTTACTTTTAGCCCAATAACCAACCACTCGTGCCCACAATGGGGACTTTTTTATCCAATTACACAAAACCACCCAAACCCCTGGAGAAGAAGGTGAAAAAGAAGGTGAAAAAGAAGGAGCAACCTCCACCCTAAAACCTCCATCTTGCTTTATATCTATTCCTGTATTTTAAACCATTAAACTCTGAGTTTCCCACCCTGTGATATCACACACTTCTATTCAAACGCCACCCTCACAATCCCATTTCTATCATTCCATTTTGGAAGTGTTCTTCTTCTGCTGCTAAGTGGCTATTTCATATTCTCAGTCTAATCTAGTTTGTAGGAGACTTTTATTAAGTTATAGAATGCTGAAGTATTTACATTTAGGAAAAGTGTCTCTGCTGTCCATTGTTTCCCGAGTGTCATGAACGATTATCAGATTTTCTGAGAGTTTTTGCTTGAGCAATAACCATATTTGTCCAGAAAAGCAAAAACTGATTAGCTCAACCCTCATCATATCGTGTTTATTTTAGCAATTCTGTTGCAAAGTGAAGCACATTAATCCATGTTTGTGTTCCAAGCTCACATGGGTAAGTCTGAAAGTGCCCCATAACTCCATGAAGCCCAGAACTGAGTCTGAAGCTGGACCAGCCTGGCTGTTATGGGTTAACCCAAAGCCCAGCGCTTGCAGCAGCAGCAGCAGCAGCAGAGCAGCAGCAGAGCAGCAGCAGCACTGCAGGGCTGCAGGGCTGCAGGGCAGTGGCTGCTAGCTGCAGACAGGCTCCAGGGCAGGCAGATGCACTCCAGCAAAGGTGAAGTAACTGCTGAGTATTAACCTCGAATATTTACAACTTCTGTATGCTATCTATGAGTGTGGGTGCTAATAAAGCTCCAGGTGTTCCAGGATTGCTCCACCTGGGCTGGAGCCAGGCTCCCCAAGGTGCTCCCTTGCCCTGCCCCTGGGGGCTGCTCTTTGCAGGCACATCCCAGAGTGGCACTGCCCTGCCAGGGATGTCGGTGCTGTGTCTCCTGGTGTTTGCCAGGCTGTGACATGTCCCACAGGGACATCACCAGCCCCATCACCCGCCCAGAGTGTTGGGTTAGGAGTGAGAGGATCTGGCTGTGCCATCCTGCTCACCGTGTCTCTGGTGTGGAAAAGGCCTCAGGAGGCAAGGGAGGAGTTTTCATTTGAGTTGTCTGCAGAAATCCCTGCAGGACCTATAAACACGTGCCCATACAGCATCAGTGACAGGAGCAGCGTGTCCAAATGTCACTCCCACCACCCTCTGTCCCTTTTCCACACATCCCTAGGCCTGTCCTCTGACAGTGATGACCCCTTCTGGGTAAATGGTCCTTTGAGCTCCTTTTCCTTCCCCTACCATTGAGACCCTGTCAATATTTTATGTCTCCAGTGAGAGGCAGCTGCCCAGCTCAGCACAGCTCGGTGCTCTTGAGCTCTGTTAGGTATGGGAGTTCTGGATCAGAGGGATGGGACTTTCCAGGCTTCAGGAGCCATGAGAGGGAAGCAGGAGGTGGATGAAGGCCAGGCAGCATCCCAGCCCACTGTCCTGAGTGCAGTGTCCAGCTCCAGTGCTCCCTCAACCTGCAGGTCCACCCATGCTCTTCTCCCAACACATCCTGTTCCAAAGGGTGCACGGTGTGTGCTCCCAAAACCCTCACTGCTTTCCAGTCCCATCTGCCCCAAGATGCCTCAGCTCTTCATCCCTCTGTTCTGCAAGGCTGGGGGCACATTTCCAGTGAGCTCATGAGTACCTCGGGGAGCTTATGAGTACATCAGGGTAAGACATTTCCACAGCAGGGACCAAATGGCCCAGGGGGAAGAAGCTTGGGCTGCCCGTGCTGGTCAGGGCACATGAAACTCCTGTTGTGCATCCCTTTTCTGCTGAGATCCACAGCCTGGGCTCCCTGCAGCTCAATCCAGAGGAAAACAAACCCCAAGTGCTTTAAAGGCTCATGTCAAGCGTGTGGCACAGCAGGGCTGCCCTGTCCTGGGAAGGCGTGTGCTCTGAGAAGGTCCATGCCCACCACCGGCTCCTGCATTTTGGGCTGCATCACCCCAGAGCTGGCTGCATTTCAGCTGTGCTGCCTCCCTAGAGCTTTTAACTCATTTTGCTCTCCCTGTGGACTCCCTGTGCCCAGCAATGAAGCACGGGGGGGGCTGCTGATGCTTCAGAAACGCCGGTGAAGTTTGCCCAGAGCTGCAGATGGCCGGATTAGCCCGAGCTCAGACAGAACCAACACCAGGAGCAAGATAAGCATCTCGCTGGCCCTGCCCAGCACCTTGGAGGCTTCCCCGCCTCTGCTTTCCCTCCTCCAGGGAGGGAGGCACATAAATAGAGGTGCCGGCGGCTCTGGGGCAGGAGCGGGGTTGTCTCCCGAGGTGTGGCAGCGCATCCTGCCCGGCCACCCTGCAGGTAACCGGGAGCGGGGCAGGACCAGCCTGCATCCCTGGAGCGGGCGGGAGGATGAGCATTTCTTTCCCCAGGGAACAGCAGGAGGCTGGCGGTGCTGCTCAATGCATGGCGAGGTTTTGCTGGAAATTGGCCCCGCTGAAGGTGCCCAATGTCACTGCTGGGTGGGGTCAGATGTTTTGGCAATGGTTGGGGTGTGAGAAACCTTCTCACAAGGCTTAGTGATGTTTGGTGGTGGTGTCCTGCTCTGTCCGTGTGGCGTGGGTGAAGCTGGGGCAGCTCTTGGCTCGGGGAAGGGAGAACTTCTCCAGCATCAGCTTTTCCCTGGGAGCACATCTGGGTTCTGTGCCAGTCATCTGGGAATGACAGTAAAATGACAGTAAAACCATTAGATTAAAATGCGTGTGAATGAAAGGAAGGGGCAGAGCAACCCCAGCAAAGATAAAGCAGGTCTAAGTAACTTAAACTAGCAAAAGCTTGCTTTAAAACCAGAAAAACTTCCAAGTCTTCCTTTTTTTTTTTTTTTTTTTTTTTTTTTTAAAAATTATTTTTTTTTTTTTTTTTTTTTTTTTTTTTTTTTTTTTTTTCTAAATTGATAACGGACAGGGTCTGTGCTTTCAAGCTGGTTTCTTTATGCTTATGCAACTTGCAAACGTTTTTTGTTTAAGGAGATGTTAAGAAATAACTGCGAGTAGTTGCATGCCTGCAAGAGTAGGAAATTTGGGCTATCAAAGGGTGATGATACAAATGTAATCAAAGACGGCACTGGGGCAATGGGAGAAGAGACCAGAGCTGGAAGAACCCAGTGCAGGAAGAAGGAAGGTGTATTTAAAAAGGGACATAAGGGCACGCAGACAGAGGGAAGGGATTCAAAAATGCACTTAAAGGAAACACTGAGTCTTGAAAATCTGAAAGGAAAAAAAAAAAGTCCTCAGCCTTTAAACAGGATTCAGCATGGGCTGCCAGGTGCTGTGCATCCAAGGTGTGAGTGGAGAAGGAGGAGGGAGCAGGCACAGGGAGGGAATTTCATGCCAGGACTGACTCTCTGAAAAGAAGCTCACCAAAATAAGTAGAGAAGACAAAGAGCTGAGTCCCACAGGAATGCCCAACATCAGAAACAGCTTCCTTAAGAAAAAAAGGTTTTTCCAGTTGAAATAGAGATGGAGTGACCCCCTTGGCTTCCTTTGGAGGAGTGAGGTGGCTGGAAAAGACAGATAGTGAGTGGCACAGCAGGACAGGCTGACACCCAGACCTGGTGCCTGGAGTAGCCACAGGACAAGCCACCAAAGCAGACAGGGCTTCTTTGAGCCCTTCTTCTGTCCAGGCCTTCCAGGAACAATTAATTAGTCATTTAAATGTAAATTATTAGCACCAACTTGAGGGTGAACAAGTCCCATTTGCTAGTCAGGGCAAGCATGCCCAAGCTCAGTGGGTGCAGCAGCGTGGGCTTTGCTCACCAGTGCCTGCCTGAACCCTGGGGATGGAGGACACAGCGGTCCAGCCGGGATGGGGTTTTGGGGATGAGATATTCTGGTTTAGAGCAAACCCCCCTGGCACCAGGCAGCTGTGGATGATCCAATCTCCAGCCATGGGCTGCTCAAGGAGATGGGGCTTCATCCCCTGGGCTCTAAACCAGCCAGCCCAGAGCCGGGTTCTTCCATTTCCCCTTGTTATGTGTAGTAAAATATAATTCGCGCCATCCCTTGTATGAAATATGTAATATTAGATACTTGTTAGATCATGCCTGTTATATTAGTTTCCCCCCCACCCCCACCCCCTTGCAGGCGAGACTGGGTGTATATTGGAAAATGATTTACAAGTACAAAGATGTAGCTGGGCCAGGAGATGGGCCATGGCTGGACTCCA